TGTTTCTATTTTGCAAAATAGAATCCAAACTATAACGAAATTGGAAAAACGCCTACAACAATTTGTAGATCTTTTCTTTGCAAATCTAATGGTTTATGTCTCATTGCTGTAGCTGCGAAACAGTAGGAAAAAATAGGTTTCTAGTGACAATAAGTGTGAATGTTCAGTAGAGCCCGACAAAGTCCCGGGCGCCTCGAAATCGGCATTCATAACTGCAAGGAATGAGACTAGACGATACTGGAGCTTAATTTCTATCAAGGATGGTACGAGTGACGGCGCAATAACCACCCCGTACGACTGCCGCAAGGTTACTGGAGCTGAGTGTCTGTAGACTAGCGATTTATAGTGCACTGCGGGAATTATTCCCCCATCTTAAATGTGAAAGAACTCCCCCAGCCCCATCCCTTTCGGGATCTGTCGTGAACGCATAAATCAACGTACAGAGATGGTTTTGATACCGTTGGATAGGACAGAATGTCATTTTTAAGATGGGACTAAAAACAGGAAAGGCCAAAATTGTCGATTTTGGACCAAGACGCTCCCCTTAAACTTTAGACGATGGATGCATCTAATAGCTTCATTTCGTACGTTTTCAGATCCTTTATCAACTTCCGAGACACAAAATTAACGCACATCCTTCAGCATTCCCTGAAGGGTGACGGAAGGACTTCAATTATTTGTACTGCCAGCCCTGCTTCTGTTGAGCATACACAGAAAGCGCTCGGGTAGTCATCTCTTAATAGTTTCAAATTTAGTTCCTAGTTTTTCCTGCTGTTCAGGCTGACTCTATTATGTGCCTGTCATTAAAAATAAACCCAAAAATTTTCCAATAAATGAATTTTTTATGCCATTTCCTATGCGCGTGGCAGGTTTGCTTCTCGCGCTATGAAAATAAAACCCAGGAGTATGCAGCAGCACGCGCCCATGCATGAGGAGTGATCAGAAGCTGAAGCAGGAGCTCGCGCTGGAGCGCGAGCGCCACTTCAACAAAGTTTTGCAGGTGAAGTGCCGACACTCTGGCGTCGTTGATATCTTCGCCCCGCAGGAAGGGTGCTGAAATTTGGGTGTTGAAACGTTGTTCGCATGGATGGTCGCGCGCACGTGGGAGACGGCCTCCAGAGTGCTCGTGCGAGCACCAAGCACCCTAGATTTATGCTCGAGAACCCAGACAAAACGTGGCAGAGATCTGGGAAATGTTAATCTATAGGTCTAAATCTAAATCATAGGGTGAATCATAAATGGAAACGGAGCCTAAACGTGTTCTTGTGTGTTGCCATTACAGACGATCTTGGTAAACTGAAAGATCATGGATAAATGGGGTAAATATCCTGTTGTGGATGGATCATTTATTGACATCAAGTGAACATTAATACTGGAAAATCAGTTTTCTAGCATTTCTCGAGTTTTTACTTTAGTTCATTTCCTGTGATGGGAAGTATAACATTGAATCGTTCACTATTCCTGCAGATTGAGAAAAAACTGGATGCTGCAGAGCAAATCAACCAGGATTTGCTGGCAAGAGTACGAAAACTCAATGAGGAGCTGGTCACGTCCGTTTTCCGTAGCGCTACAGGGCAGATAAAGGTCAGCCTGCCCGTAACTATATCTATATCAATTGATGAGTTATAATGCATAAATTCGTTCTTTCAATCCTGGCAGCATGTTTGATCATATTTTCATTATTATTTTGTATTTAGATATGACGCACAAACTCTGAGCTGAATCTGGCGCCATAGAGTACAGTTGAAGCGCTATCTTGTCGGGCACGCGACTCAGGTTCTCTGCTGTAAATGTCCTTCAGCTTTGATTTTTTTTATTCATTATTTCATAGGTGTCAAAGAAGTCACGAAGATTTTCATGGCCAGCTCCTGTAATAGCGTCCATCGTGTCGGCTGGACCCACCCCACCTCCAGCGCGAGGTAGGGTGGATTCACAGAAGGTCCCCTCCCACTCATGACATGTCACTTACCGATGAACGAGGCCAGAACGCAGACAGACGAAAACAGAAAAATAATAAAGCGAAGAAACGATTCAAATGTCGATATGCCGGATGTTTATTTGCAACCAGTGCCCCATCTAAATTAAAAATCCATGAAGAAGCCATCCACATTAAGAAGACGTTTTACATGTGTTTATTTTGCAACAAAAAATCATCTTATGTATCCTCTATCATGCGGCACATGAGGCGAATCCATCCTGAAGAGTTGAAGAGATTACCTGAAGCCAGAAGTGAGTGATCAAAGAGACCCATCCATTTCTCCTAACACATTTTTTATCTATATGATTTTATAGATGTTTTACATATGTAGATTTTTTCTCAACTGAATCTCAATTCAGTTGAGAGCAACTATTAGTAGGTAAGTGTAGTTAAGCACAACTAACCCCTATCTCTGTCCGTGCAGACTTACCCTGTTTCCGTCTGTGCAGACTAACCCTTATCTCTGTCTGTGCAGACTAACCTTTATTTTTTGTCTGTGCAGACTTCTCTTATCTCTGTCTGTGCAGACTAACCCTTATCTCTGTCTGTGCAGACTAACCCTTATCTCTGTCTGTGCAGACTAACCCTTATCTCTGTCTGCAGACTAACCCTTATCTCTGTCTGTGCAGACTAACCCTAATCTGTGATGACTAACCCTTGTTTTTGTCTGTGCAGACTAACACTTCAGCCGCCTAAGCTGAAGCGTAAAGGGATGCTCTGTGCTGGGACACCTGCCTCAACATTGGCGCGCTGCGACACCTGTGTCCAGCGATGCTGTGCATGCGACGCAAGCGTCCAGTGACAATGTGCTGGGATATCAGTGCCCAGTGCTGCTGTTGTAAAAAAAGTAGCGAATTTTAATGACGTTCATTTAGTAAATATTTTTAATTGTGGGTGTAGGTCCGGCTGATTGGTGTAGGTCCGGAGAGATCCAAGGCGTTTGATTCAGGGCTTTCTCTCGTACGCAGAATACAAACTGCCATAAACCGCGCAAACCAGTGGATCACGGCTCACGGATTCTCATTCTCAAGCGACAAAACCGTTGCTATGCACTTTCAGCGAAGTCGCTCTCAAGAACAACCCCCTCCATTTTTCCTACAAGGCCAACAAATCGCTGTGTCCCCCACAGCCAAATTTCTTGGTATGACATGTGACAACAAACTCTCATGGAGACCCCATGTGAGGGCTTTATTGGCAGCGTCCTTAAGAGGATGAATTTGCTGAAGCACCTAACCGGACAGTCGTGGGGATCTGACCGTGTAACTCTTTTCCGCCTTTACAGGGCCATACTAAGAGCCAGGTTAGACTATGGGTGTATCATATACCAATATGCCAGAAAAACCACACTAGCGCTACTAGAACGCTACAGATGATTACTCGCCTCAAACAACTACCGTTATCTCCAACATGGCTCACTGTAATGACCGAAGACCAAGCAAACCCATTTCCATATAACATCCCATCATCTGAAGACTACGGTGCACTCTTTGCAGCAACACAGGCCCAACAGATGCAGGTTATGCCCGTCACGTTCGAAGACATTCCCACATGGCGAATCCCCATCAGCACCTTCTGCCCGGATCAAAATCTCCCACTAAAATCAGAGTTGCAGGCAACTGCGATGAAAAACCTTTTCCTGGACCACGCAACTTCAAAGCATACAAACTCGACCCATATATACACTGACGGGGGTGACGGTTCAAAGTTGGACGACGCAGTGGGGTGTGCGGGTACGACCGACACAACAATAATATCAAGACGACTGAGCCCCAACGCTTCAATTTATACGGCGGAATTGTCTGGCGTCCTCTGTGCCCTGGCCCTAATAGATGACCACTCCGAACGTAACTTTACAATATTTATAGACTCCAAAAGTGTAGTGCAGGCCCTGAGAACCTACAACAGCAAACATCCTATCATCTTGGAAATTCTGGCCTGGCTTTTGCGCCTGGTGGAGGCGGGAAAAACGATAAGCATCTGCTGGGTCCCGGGACACGTGGGGGTGCGGGGAAACGAAAGGGCGGATGAGGCGGCGGTGGGCGCTGCTTCGTCGTACGCGGCCATTTATAGGGAGGACGTCCGCCATATATGGCGTTCACCATATATGGCGCGAGCTGTGGCTGAACACGAGAAACAATAAACTGAGAACAATCAAGGACAGTGTATTAGCATGGAGCTCATCGTACCAGAGATCCCGACAAATGGAGATCGCGCTGTGTAGACTGAGGATTGGCCATACGCGCCTCACTCACGGCTACTTGATTGAACTGCACCCTATACCATATTGTGACGATTGCCTGGTGCCCCTGACAGTTCTGCATGTCTTGGCGGAGTGCCCTAGCCACGACATCCAACAAAACTGCTACCCCAACACATCCGCCCTTGATCATGACGAGATGCTCACTAGAATGCTGCGGGAGGACCGGCGAAGTAACTTCGAAACCGATAACCTTAGACGATACCTGATGGAATGCGACCTGCTGCCAGAGATTTAGCATGACCCCGTAACGCCACCGCCGGTCGGTCATATGCACTTGCACCATCGCCTTTAGCGAGACTATATAATCGCACCTTGCCATCACCTAGAGTCCTAGACCAAGCCTCACTAAACTTACGTTGCGTTCAGCGCCGAGATCAATATGTTATGTTATTATGATAATTATTATAAAAGTGGTTTCAGCATTTATGAGGCCGTAGGCCTGTCGTTGATTCTGAACATCGCAGAACATTGACAGTTTGTTGCCGTTTCGAACTCACTGCTCCAATTTTGCATTGCTTAACCTCCCGGCCCTCTAGCCGATTCTGACCTGAAATTGGCGCACAGAGCTGGGATCGAACCCTTGCCTCTCTGCTCAAATCCTGGTACTCTGAACTGTAACCACTGGGCCACCTTGGTGAAAAATGATTACATGGAAAAGCGCGTTACCTCTTCTCGGGTGTAGAAATGTTCTTCAATGAGGCCACTAGCTTGGAAGTTCCCAGTTGAATCTTCCCACAGCCTGAGCCCTTCGTTTCCAGTAGTGTTGGCGCGACCCACCAAAAGGTCGTAGACGCACTGTTGTATATTTCCATAAACGAAGCTCTGAAATAAAGTCGGCATCAGTGAGCAAGTTAAGGGAAGTTAGAGTTTAGCAATCATACTGACAGAAGCTCTGCTATAGTAATGTTTAACATTATTATTGGAGCTATGTTAAAATATTTCAGATTGCTCTATTTACCCAAGGGATCCATTAATATGCAATGAAAAGCTTGTTGATCATGTGGAATGCGGAACATACCTAATGGTAAAACGAACGTCTGGTGTGTCCTCCATGCCCCTAAAAAGGCTGTCGATGGCCTGAGGGATGATACCGGGACAGTCCGGTCGACCCACCATGGTGTGGGTTTTACCTGCATGTAAGTATTTAGATGAAAATTGCACTACATGAAACTCAACATTAAGATTTTTTATTTATGCGCCTCAGAATATTTCATCTATTACTTCAATTCTGTAAAATTATACATTCTGCTATTTTGAGCAGCGCAATATAACTTATAACTATTATATCTATCCATATACTTCCACTACCATTGGGTACATGTTTGTGAAATTGACATTAAATTTAATTACATTGACAGAGAGAAATGTTCCTGCATTTTTTGCTACCTTGCACAAACTTCTTCGCTGACTATGATCATAAACTCAGTAGACTCCTGCGTTTGGTATTTTTTTTTAATCCGGGACGAGACGAGACGAGACAACAGGCTCTGTCCCGGTTCGCAATAAAATCCGGGACAATTTTCAGTCTTCCGTTGGAATTCCGGGACGATACCGAGACGAGACGAGACATCCCGGTTAAAACAGGTACCTTAAAATTTCCCGGAATTTACAGCCATTTTAACGAGACATAACGAGACTAATCAATTATTGATGTGGTGTAAACTTTGGCTTACCGTCATACATTTATACAGAGCTGGGCCTGTCTCTTATACACATCTAGATGTGTATAAGAGACAGGTCTATGTCCCTATTAGCAATAAAGGGCTAACTTGTCATTCTTCAACCCATGTTTTCGAAATGATTCGTATCGTAATCGAAAAACTTGTTTTGTCTTAAATAATTAAGACAAATCTCGTCTCGTCTCGTTATGTCTCGTTTCAAATCTGTCTGTCTCGTCCCGGTTCATAATTAACCGGGACACAAGTTTTAAAGTCCGGGACAGAAGTCTTGTCTCGGTTCATACGTTTATTCCGGGACAAATTTTACCCTCTGTCCCGTTATTTTTTTCCCGGAATTTTCTCGTCTCGTTTCGTCTGTCCCGGTTCATTTCGAGAAAATTATTTCGAGACGCAGGAGTCTAATCATAAGTATATCTCCCCTCACCGGATGAGGTCTGTCCATAGGCAAACACTGTAGCGTTGCTTCCCTTTAAAACTCCCTTAACAAGTGGCTATGCCACTTCTTTGAAGATGGTGGAGTTTTTTACCCTTTGATCGTAAACCCGACCTGTAAGACAATAATAATACATCAGAAACGTTTTTTTACTGTTATGCAATTAAATAATATATTTTAAGATAATATGTACAGTACTTATATATTTCAATCATATACAGTATTTCGAATAAATATTGCATTCATATGATGGCATGAATTTTAATAATGGTAATGGTAGACGAGTGTTTGATTTCACTTGATGTAAAAATTTAATGGGTTATTCCATACATACCATCCACAAGTTTCCAAGAAAACTCACCATAGACGAACGTATCCTCATTTTTGGCTTGAGGCGGCACTCTCACTATGCTATTGTGGTTAATGACCTTCCAGTGTTGAGTCTTCCCTTCTTCTTGACCCAATGGCCTAAGCCTGACAAATACTTTTATTTCAGGCATTTTGTCGAATTATACAAGTTTGTCAAATGTAAAATTTGAAGCCCTGTAACGACACCCAAAAATAAAAACGGATTATATATTCTCTCAGGACTGGATGAAAGATAATTAGCATTATTTCGCACCGAAGGTCAAATGATAACATCGCCAGCTGTACAGAAAGACTCAATTGCTGTCAATGGGGTCAATGCGGTCAGTGGGGTCAATGCTGTCAATGGGGTCAATGCTGGCAATGAGGTCAATGCTGTCAATGGGGTCAATGCTGTCAATAGGGTCATTTGGGTCCTTGTGGTCAATGGGTCATTGGGGTCAATTAGGTCATTGGGGTAATATGGGTCATTGGAGTCATTTGGGTCAAATTGATCAATGGGGTCAATGTGTTCGACAAGATCATTGGGGTTATTGGGGCCATTGGGGTCAATGGGGTTGATATGGCCTATAAGGTCATTAGGGGAAAGGCGCCACGAAGACGTCACGGTTCGAGGAAAAATTGAATATACAGTCTTCTTTGACAGCCAATATCGGGGGAACGAGGAGTCCCCGAGCTAACCACTTGGAGCTACTGGATGGGGATTTTCCTTCTCTTCAATTTGTTATTCGTGTAAATTTTCTTTAATCCTGATCGTTGTCGAGATAAGAAAGCTTGAAAAAGCACAAATTCACAATTATTTTTTTCAATTGCTCCTAACTCGTTTCCTATGGGGAATTTCGAGTTTTCCGTTTGGTGAAGTTTTTTGACCTATATGCAAAAAAGATGAATTTTCCAAAAATTCTAGGCAGAAGTCCCTAACTTGAACTGCATGATGGCAACTGAGAGCCAGACGAATACAAATTATCCGCCATCCGCTGTTAGCCGGGTGGCGGTCTCTCTGTCTTCGACCTCTCTTCTGATGTTTGCTAATGCGAGTTTAAGTGCACCCAAAATTTGTGCCACTAATACGAGGTAGTGAAATTATTTAGTATCAAAGAAAACAGTTCGATTAAAATACTATTGATTATCTGAGAGCAGAAACATAAATCGGTCAACTAGGTCTCTCTGTATTCGACCGTCAGTGCCGCCACAGCATGCAGTGCAAATAAGCAAATTACCGCGCTCCACCCTGTATTACTGCACTCGCAAATTATTTTACTATGGAATATTTATAGCTCTGTATCAATCCACATTAAATAAATACGTTCCAAAATATGACGATCACTTATTCGTGTTGTGTTGCGGCTGGCTGCTTGTATACGGCTGTAAATATAAGCAGTTGCTCCAGGAAAGTCTTATCCTTTTAGATTTTATCCGAATTACGGATTCCAAATAGAGAGTAAATTGAATTATTTATTATGAAAAGTACAACTAACAACAATAATGTGAAAATAGAGCTGTCGATTTGAGATGCCATGAGAATATAGAAGCTCGTTGGCCAGTTTTATCTAGTTTCAATAGGGTTATCTTAGTTATTTCGGGATTAAATACAACATCCAGATTCATCTCGTGCTTTCCTTTGTAGAAGATTCTAGAAACTTCTAGAACCTTCTAGAGGATTGTAGAACTTTCCAGAGGATTCTAGAACATTCTCGAAGATTCTAGAAGCTACTAACAGTCTGATCTGGAAGAATACAACTTGAAAGTTAGCTCGTTCCTATTTTTCGAAAAAAGCTGAAACGGTGAGCGGATGATACTTCAAAAATCGTTAGTATTTATCCAAGTTTACGCATAGAACGTAGTGATTCGTAAATAGCTCATTTAGTTACATATGAATATAGATATGAACGATAACTTGTTCGCGTCAGCTCAATTCTTTAGGCGAAGAGCTTGAATTTAACCATGCCAAGATAAATCAAATTTCTGACGAGACATTTTAAATTCATTAGCTGGCAGTTCAAATAAAAATTTCAATGAATCGCTGTGCAGCGTTTGCAATTATCTTTCCGATAAAAGTTGTAATTTGGATGAACTGAAATGATTTCCCGACGCTAATATGGTTATCATGAAACCTATTGAAGTGCTGGTCCCCAAAGGAATGGAACGCAAGTCCAAAATAGGGTAGAATGAAATGCCAACTCATGGTATCCAGAGTTCAGCATATATTCCAACGGGAACACGAGTGTGGTTTATAATTTAAATACAGTCCCTTATCCTCCTGACAGTTTTTAACAATCGAAAGGAACCTGCAACTACTTTAAATTACTTCGTGAATATTCATGAAGGACACAGAAATTCTTGTCAATACAAACTCGGCAGGCTTCCGAGTGTTCTCTAGCACTCGGAAGCATAAAATTCTCCCAAAGCTGTAAACGAAATAAAAATTTGGAACGAGGGAACTTGAAATTACTGTAAATTCACACAAAATTTTGTCACTAGAACTCATGATGATTTTAAAACTTAAATTATATCGTCAATTATAAAATGTTCAGTCAACTATCCGCCTACGTCAATGAATGCAACTCCGAAGTGTTTCGTAATTTGTTACGTAGGAGCGTTACGATATGAGGAGCATGCATTACACCAGGTTAAAGCATTACGATCTATGAAGTTGCACATACAAACGAAGTTAACTAAAGTAAATGAGACTTCCGGTCAGCTCATGGCAGTGATGAGAACAACAACTATAACTGGCGAAAACATTCATCAAGCAAGATGTCATTCATTCCTGTTATTAATTGACACTCTTCAATATGACGAGAAATTAATCAATTTCAAATTATGGACAATTTTGTTACCGATCAAGCAATATTAAAAGAAGGAAAATTAAATAAATCTGACTTGCACACGTCCTCTTTGAACTTCAGAGCACAAGTTAACAAATAAATCGTGTCGCAATTTTCTGACCGTAACCAAAGCTCTGGTCAGTCAGATGATGAAATAATATTAAATACACAAGAGCTTATTTCAGTAATCATGATAACGCTAAAATCAAACATCAATGCGCTTGAGTTTACAACAATTTTAATCATTCTTCTCGAAAAAAACCTCTATTGGAATTTAGTTACAAATGGGAATCAAACAATTTCGAAAGCGTTGAAGATTTATTGAAGCGGTTCGCAAAACGAAGAAGTTCACGGAGTGGGAAACGATAAGAGACGTGTTGGTCGCACTGCAGAAAAATTCACAGATATCAGAAATGGATCGAAAATTAGGAATCTAAGGATCACAATATTTAAAGCACGGAATAAGTCACTGTTTCACTTAATGAACGTCTCTCTCTCTCCCTCTCTTGTTCTCACCAAATTGCCGAAGGCAACAAAACGTATTAATGAATCGAGTCGTAGGTCAGCAGCCGGACAAAAGGAATAAGCAGCAGGGCTGAAGACCAATCGGAACGAGGAGGTTGTGGGGAGGATTCTTATCTGAACAGATGGATGAGAATAGATCACACCTATAAATGGCTGAACTAAAGTATAGAGCTACACAAACCCTACCGGGTTCAACTACTGGAGTACATCCAGTAAAATAAGAATTTAATCGAACGAACACAGAAGTACGAACATGCAGATCAGCTGAACTAAACAAAATGAAAGCACATTCGTACAAACTCAAATTAAGTTAAAGATAAGCAAGGTTTCACCGAAGACGGCAACAAGTTAATGCGGTGTAACACGAGGTCTGCACCAAGGCAAGGTTAAGGAAGTAATGCCTACGATCGAGCTCATGAGCGTCGACTAAGCCTCCTAAAAAGAGATTAACGAACGGCGTATATACAATGATAAAGAAATCGGACAAATTAATTTTAACACCTCTAACCTTAAACGATTTTGATTTCTGGGACTTATCGTTTCCTTGTCATTCCGAAGGTTATATTCCGTTATTTTTAATTTGAAAGGTTATTTTAATTAGTTAATAGAAGTAGCTACGTCGCAGAGCATGTAAACCAACGAAATTGAGTCTCATTGATGGAAAAGCTTTTAAAAATTTCTTCTTTGCTCGTATCACTTAATGATATTTGCGCAAGTTAGCTACCACCGAATTTCTACAGCCTTGAGATGCTTATAATCAAAATTCAAAAAGATAATTGCGACAAATAAATTGTGCAGGACATCGATTCTGAATGACTGGAAATGAAATGGTAAGACAAACTGTATAAATTTCTATGAAATTTGTTTTGAATTTCATTGAAATTTCTATGAAATTCAAGTTACACAAGGGATAACTTTAGATTGATAGGACGAACTTCTCATGCGAAATGTAGTTATTAGAAATCGTCAACATACAAACGTCCACAGTAACTCAGCAGGAAGCCATGGGGCAATGAAGCCCAACATTTCAACACACAAAATAACTAAGTTATTATTTCTACTAGAGAATAGCACCACAGTCAGCGGGAACCTTTGAAAAGTTGTATTAATTTCTCTAGAAACGCTTACTCAAAACTCGTTGCGAGTTGTACTTATGACTATGAGAAACAACCAGAGACTGGGATGGTCATGGTTGAACTAGTATAAGGTTGACGCAGGAGAAGCTCATTTTCGCGGATGTAGTTCGTTGATCGTCTGTGACGTCACTGATCTCAGTGAGGTCACGGGCATTAACCAATCACCGAAATGCGATCAAACCAGTCAA